AGCTCCGCGAAGGAAATTGCCATCCCTAGGGAAGCGTGCATTGACACGGCAGCGACTCGGCATTGCCACTGTATAAATTGGGGGACTCATTGACCCCCTTCCCGTAGCTTTCCTCGTCAATAATGGTAAGGATAAGTCCGAAATCCTTACCTTTGAACCGTATTGTTATAATTCCTTAATAGTCCAAGTGAAATTAAATTTAGTGCTTTTTGATCAAGTAGTTGCATAATAGGTTCAGTGCATATGTCCACACTTGATTCTCCACACTTGATTTCTTGGTCTCGAAATGATCGCTTGAAGGGATATGTTGGACTCCGATTATCCTCTTGAGCAAACCACGTGAACACCTCACTAAGGTTGATAAATGCCCTCGGAGGCCACTTCAGAAAACTAATTGAAATCGACCTAAAGTTTCTTTGTCCATTACTCTAAAGGTGGATCCGATTATTGCTGACTTAAACATTGAAGTCTCTACCTCGAGTACCACCTCGGGGCTTGCAGATCTGTCCAAAATGAAGACACAAACGGAAAAAGGATTTTTGATTTGGTGCAATTACAACAATAAATACCGAGATTTATGTGGGGAATTTTAGCAGGGGTTCAAAATGTCCTCTTCTCTTTTATTTGTGAAGAATGGGAGGTCCTGTTGGTTTACGGATTTCACGTTAAATATTAATCATACCAAATTTGATTTTATTTTTTTAATAAATAAAAATTAAAAATTAAAAATAATTTAAATAAGTAAATATATCATACATATAGTCTAATAATATCTAACTTTAACAAATATATATTGCTATACGAATAGTAGTTAATTTATTAAATTAGATTTGAAAAAAAACAGAAAAAAAAATAAATTGGTGAATAAAAATTAATTAATAATATTTTAAAAAATAACTAATAATATATTTATAAATATATATAAATTTATATATTTTTTATTGTATACAGATTTCACAAAACAAAAAGAAAAAGAATTTATCACAAAATTTCATAAAAAAAAAGGGGGGGCT